CCATAAATAAGACCAAAGGAGCTGGGTTAGCTCCTTTGCCAGCTAGGTTGACTTCGTCTCCTCCCCGTCTTGCGGATTTCCGTTATTCAACGGGTATATTTGAGAAGTATACGGTACTAAAACCACAACCATTGATCTTAGCTTGATCGGTTCTTCCCTAGGATTTATACATAAAAGTAAATTGTTTTGTTTAATAATTTTCCATTGCATGAACTTTCGAGACAACAAGTGGACAGGAGTGTAATGTCATCAAAAGTCAAATCAAACACTGTGAGGAACATAATAGACAACGTTGGCTTCTTTCGCAGCTGCTCAACGTTGTCTCTCCCGATGGTCCCAACACTCTCTTCTTCTTTTTTTGTCAACATTCAAACGTTGTTTAAAATAAATAAAAATGTTTAACCTTAATCATCTTTCTAGATCTTTAAATGCCTAAAACTTCAACTTAATCAGTCAGCAATCCGTCACGTTAATGATTTTGAAAGGAAGACTTTTGTTTTGTTTCGGTTTGTTTTGTTTGTTTAGTATTTTAATCACAAGATAACTCTAATTTCCCATTAGAGTTGTGTTAATTGTGTTGATTATGATTTGGCGTTCCAATTCTGATATTATTTTTATGTTGTAAATCTTAAACTGTTACGTTATTGTTCTATCTTCCTATGTGAGAAAAAAGTAAAATGTTTTAAAATTTTGACATGGATAATAATATAATTGTAAATCTATAATAATTATATTATCATTTTATTTATATTTTTCAAAAAGAAATATATTTATCTTAATAGATTTAATATGATAATGTCAAATATAGTTATAATCTAAAAGAGTTATGTTATTATCCCATCCTTTTATGAGAAAAAAGCAGATATTCTCTTAAACTTTTAAATTAACGTGGATAATAATAAATAAATGATAATTTTACTAATATGATAATGATTCGGTTTTAATCTTACCAAAAAACAAATAATGATTCTGTTTTAAAAATATATAAATTTTCTTTGTTTAGTTGTAGATATTGTCATATAAAAAATTCTTAGATCCTCCACTGCTTTAATTTTATGTAAATACCTTGCTTGATATTTAATTTTGATTTGATATCATAACTAATCCTTGCTTTTTTTTTCGGCACTAACCATTGAATTTTTTATACTGCCATTTAATTCTTGCATAAAAAATAATAATTAATAGTAGTGTTTATTATGAATGCAGGTTTGTTTTCCATAAAAACTAGATTGGATTTATGGAAGCACGTCATTGTTTCCAGTGCGAGGAAACAAATGTCGTATCACTGCTGTTGTGGCTCTTTAGTACTTTCGTTTCTGTTTATGGCTTTGCTTCGGTTGTATGGTTAGTCATCAATCATTGATCTTCTCATTGTTTGAATATTGTTGCATAGGAAAAATCTTCCTTTTTTATGAATCTTTCAAAAGTTGGGTCCATGCTATTCTCAGTGATTGATTACGTTTATTGAATATTTATGTGCTTCCTCTGCTGATATTCTAATTCATGCTTTATTCGTCGTCTTTGATACACTCTGATTAACCATTGTGCACCTCTAGAGTCTAATTTGCAATATTAATGCAAGTCTCTTTAACTTACGGATTATGAAGAGCATCCTAAGATCGTTTAATTTGATTCAGGCTTTATGTGGCTAATGTTTGGTCTTGGATGTGAATTAGTCTATCATGTTTCTTGGAAGGTAGGAAGCAATCTTGATGTTTACCAAAATATCAATCAAGAATACAACAAAAACCAGGAAGATGGGCCCAAATTAAAGTCCGAAACTGGACGTGGGGAACCCACAGACAGTGGCGGTCGGAGCGTTACAAATATGAAAGAAACGAGGAAGCGTGAATATGTCATAAAACCAAGAGTACTACAAAACCAAGAAGATGTGCTCAAAGAACGAAACTGGACGTGGGAACCCATAGACAGTGGCGGTCGTGGCATTACAAATATGAAAGAAACGAGTAAGCATGAATATGTCATTAAATCAAGAGTACGACAAAACAAAGAAGATGGGCCTAAAGACCGAAACTGGACGTGGGGAGCCCACGGACAGTGGCGGTCGGGGCGTTGCTAATATGAAAGAAACGAGTAAGCATGAATATGTCATAAAATCAAGAGTACGACAAAACAAAGAAGATGGGCCTAAAGACCGAGACTGGACGTGGGAACCCATGGACAGTGGCGGTCGGGGCGTTGTTAATATATTGTTGGTTTAAATATATAGATTTTTTATATTTAATTCTATTATATATATCAAGATATAAACACTAATAATTGTTTGTGATTCAAAAACACTATTAATTGTTGATTACTAATAATATATATCAAAAGTTATAGCGTTTTACCATAATTCTATATTAATGTCGTTATAAAAATTAGACTCTTGACAAAATTAATTCAATAAATATCCCTAACTTGATAATTCTAAATATTAATTATTAATTCTGGTCTTAATCAACATACAACTCCGCGCTAGGCGCGGGGACCTCCCCTAGTTATCTAATAAACCCTAATAGTTGACTTTTGATTTCTAGCTATAAGATAATTATATATAGACATGAACCCGCATATTAATTGATTTAAGTTTAGATTAATTAATCAATTATTATTATTTTTTAATTTTTAAATCAATTATTATAGAGGGTTAAAATATATATAGCTCGTGAAACACGCTATTTAAAATAAAATGATGGTAGGAGCGGTATGATTCGTAAAAATACAGCTCCTCATGATCAATCACGCTTTCATCTGACCTGACTATATAAAAATTTTTTTTTTATCACAATATATTTATCGTGTTCATTATTCACGCAGGAAATATAGCTTTAAATTAAAATCTATATATATATATATATATATATAGCTTAAAATCAAGTTTCCTCCAACAAGAAATGGCGATAGCTGAAGAAGAAGCTGCACTTATAGAAGATTCCGTCAGCGACTCCGTTGACCACCGTGGACTTCCCGCCGGAAAATCTTCCACCGGCGGATGGAGATCCGCCTGGTACATTATAGGTAAATAACAGTTCCTGTGATTTGTACTTTGTCGTTTTGAGCTCATAAACATTATTAAAAAAAAAAAAAGATTGTTTTGGTGTGGTTTTTTAGGTGTGGAAGTTGGAGAAAGATTCGCTTACTTTGGGATTGGTTCCAACTTAATTACTTACCTTACCGGACCTCTCGGACAATCAACGGCCACCGCCGCCGTGAACGTGAACACATGGTCAGGAACCGCTTCGATGCTTCCTGTTTTAGGAGCTTTCATTGCAGATGCTTATCTTGGTCGTTACCGTACCATTGTTATTGCTTCCCTCATCTACATACTTGTAATAACGTTCTCATCTTTCTTCAATTTCTTTATTAGATTTTAGAATTTTCACTAAAAATTTGAGGGGATTGTTATTACAGGGACTAGGACTATTGACCTTATCGTCTATCTTCATCCTAATGAGATTATCTGAGCAACGTAACGATGCTTCTGCTAGACCGTTGTTTTGGGTGAATTTATTATTCTTTTGTTCTCTGTATTTGGTGGCGATCGGACAAGGCGGACACAAACCATGTGTTCAGGCCTTTGGTGCGGACCAGTTTGATGTGGAAGATCCAAAGGAGAGAATAAGTAGAGGATCGTTTTTCAATTGGTGGTTCTTGAGTTTATCCGCGGGAATAACTTTGTCGATTATCGTTGTGGTTTATGTTCAAGACAATGTTAATTGGGCGCTTGGGTTTGGGATCCCTTGTTTGTTTATGGTTATGGCTCTTGCTCTCTTTTTGCTTGGAAGAAAAACTTATAGATACCCAAGAAGAGATCACGAGGAGAAGAAGAACGCTTTTGCGAGAATCGGTCGAGTTTTCTTGGTGGCGTTCAAGAATCGGAAACTGAAGTTAACACATTCGGGTCAGTTGGAAGATGGTTCGTCAGAGAAATGTAAAGGACTGCTTGAGTAAGTTGCATAAGTTCCAAAGTTTTGAATCTTTTGGGTTTAGTGTTTTACTTGAGAGTAAACTTTTCTTTATTTTGACTAAGATTCCTAGCAAAAGCATCACTATCAGGAGAAGGAGGTCTAGAGCCCTGTAATAGCAGGGACGTGGAAGACACGATGGCTTTGGTAAGACTTATTCCATTATGGATCACATCGGTGGTGAGCACGATTCCTTACGCTCAATACGCTACTTTCTTCACAAAGCAAGGCGTTACGGTGGACAGAAAAATCTTGCCGGGTTTGGAAATCCCTCCGGCTTCTTTTCAGGCGCTAATCGGATTATCGATTTTCATCTCAGTTCCGACATATGAGCGTGTTTTCCTTCCGTTAGCTAGATTGATTACCAAAAAGCCTTCAGGGATCACAATGCTACAGAGAATAGGAGCTGGAATGGTGCTCTCTAGCTTAAATATGGTGGTTGCAGCATTGGTAGAAATGAAACGGCTCGAGACGGCTAAGGAACATGGGCTTGTGGATAGACCGGACGCAACCATCCCAATGTCCATATGGTGGTTCGTTCCTCAGTATTTACTACTCGGAATGATCGATGTATTCTCACTAGTAGGTACTCAAGAATTCTTCTACGACCAAGTCCCCACGGAGCTAAGGAGTATTGGTCTCGCACTTTCTTTGAGCGCGATGGGTCTTGCCAGCTTCTTGAGTGGTTTTCTAATCGCTGTGATTAATTGGGCGACCGGGAAAAATGGTGGTGGTAGCTGGTTCAACACTAACCTGAACCGAGCCCATGTAGATTATTTTTACTGGTTGCTTGCCGCTTTCACCGCCATTGGGTTCTTGGCGTTTTTGTTCTTTTCCAGGCTGTATGTGTATCGCCGGGTAGATCAAATCTAAGGATATAAAATTCAACGTGTATCTACTTTCATATCATAAAATTGGTGTTATTAGTAACGTGGTTAGAAACTCTTTAACTATATTTTATTCAATAATTTTAGTTTATTAAGCTGAAATCTCTGGAAGTTTGCTCGGAACACAGCTGGACAAGTATTACGATTATGAAAAGACTTTATACCAAACATGAAAAAATATACATTGATTGGTATGATTAAAGTGTATTCAAGAAGTACACAAGAGAGGGAAAGAGAGTACCTGCGACATTTAAACGAGAGATTTTGGGTTTAACTGGTGTTGAGCCTTTTAGAGACGTAAGACTTTGCAACATACAAGTAGGAGGCTAAGCCAATGAAGCTGAGACAAGCGAGTAACCAGTAAAAGTAATCGAGATGAGCCTGGTTCAGGTTGTTTGCGAACCAACTCACTTGACCAGATTGGCTTGTCGCTCTCTCAATGATTGATATCATGAAACTGCTGAGAAAGTTGCCAATACCGAATATGCTTAAGTACAGAGCCAATCCCACACTCCTCAGCTCATTCGGGACTTGGTCATAGAAGAACTCTTGAAGACCGACCATTGCGAAAACATCCGTGATGCCAAAGAGAACATACTGAGGAACTAACCACCACACACTCATTGGAACCGTAGCGTCTGGCGAATCGATGAGTCCGTAGTCCGCAGCAGTTTTAAGCCTTTTCATCTCCACTAGAGCGGCTATTACCATAGCAAGGAAAGAGAGGAATATGCCTGTGCCGATTCTCTGAAGCATTGTGATTCCGCCTGGTTTATGTGTAAACGACCTTGCAATTGGGATGAGTACACGGTCGTAGATGGGGATGAAGATGACTATAGAGAGGCTGATGAAGGACTGGAGGGTAGCCGGAGAGATCTTGTAACCAGGTGTGATTGATCTCTCCATCGTGGCTCCTTGTTTGGTGAAGAAAGTTGGAGACTGCGCAAACACAACCGCATAAACCAAGCAAGTTAACCATATCGGAGCTAACCTAAGCACTGATTTTGCTTCTTCGAGTTCATCTATACTACAAGAACCAGTCTTTGCGACCAGAGCTTTGTTGAGAAAACTGCAGTTGGAACAAGAACCAAGATGCCTACTATAAGCCTTTTTCCATAAACAACTATGCGATAACAATAAAATCAGAGGACACAGAAAGCTGTCTTACCTAAATTGCTGTGAGCTATTGCGAGACACAAGACCAAGTCTCTCCTCTGCAGCAGCTACAGCTGAAGCTGACACACTCCAGTTCTTTACAGCCGCTACATAAACATTTCCAATCCTCACAAAAGGACTTCGATCTTCTCTTCGAATGCTGAACCGATAAGTGCAGGTTCCAAGCAAGAAAACAACCAAAGCAACTACCATAGCAATGCATGGAATACCAAAGCCTAAGGCCCAACTTAGATTATCCTGGATGTAATTCAAGACCCATAGAGTTGTTAACGTCCCAAAGCACATACCAAAATACCACCAATTAAAGAAAGAACTCTTTGCTTTGCACTCTTCAGGTTCCTTTTCATCAAACTGATCCGCTCCAAAAGCCTGAACACACGGCTTGTGACCGCCTTGAGCTAGCGCCACTAGATACAGGGCACTAAAGAATGTGATTACTTGAAATCTAGGAGAGCATGACGAGAGTAGATTCGAAACTTTGCAGTCTGAAGGAATCATTGCAGATAACGTCAATAAACCAAGCCCCTGTTGTTCCATCAAATCACTATACAACTTCATACTCATCTCTAGAGTTCATAGAAGAGACAAAAGAGAGTATTAGAATGTCCCACATTGCTTGGGATTAAGATCTTTGGGTAATATATAAAGGATGTGGCAATCCTTAACTCTTGAGCTAGATTTTGGGTTAAGTTAGGCCACATTCCTAATATGGTATCAGAGCCCAAGGTTGGCCCAACAAGCAAATTCCCACACAAATGGTTTCCCACCTATGTGGCCCATATAAGTGGCATGTCTTGTTGTATTTCCGAGATGTTGGGCTTGGGCTGTTTCCCGTTGGACCGTTTCCCACCCACATCTCGAGGAGGCCTATTAGAATGTCCCACATTGCTTGGGATTAAGATCTTTGGGTAATATATAAAGGATGTGGCAATCCTTAACTCTTGAGCTAGCTTTTGGGTTAAGTTAGGCCACATTCCTAATAGAGAGAGCTTCGTACCAATATATAGAGAGCAGAGGCGGCGAGGATTGTGCGAAAACGACCAAGAAACGAGTCAGCGACAAAAGCACCAAGGAGAGGAAGCAACGACGCCGTTCCCGACCAAGCGTTCACGTTAGCCGCCGCAGCCGCCGTCGATTGTCCTAGTGGCCCCGTCAAATACGTAATCAGATTCGACGATATCCCGTAGTAAGCGAATCGCTCAGCCACCTCCACACCTACCGTCGGAAAACAATAATCAAAACCAGCCGTTAAAAATGCCGGCGAAGTCAACTCTGGAGTAAGAAATTGGCGGGAAAATTACCGATGATGAATCCGGCAGATCTCCAGCCACCGGAGGAAGATCTAACGGCGGGTTTGCTTCTGAAGTCGACGGATCCGTCGACGGTTACAGCGAGAAGTGGAGTTCCGGCTTCATCAACAGCGCCGGAGATCGCCATTATGGTTAATCGATTTCTCCAAAATATCTTAAAGAAGTCTTTTGTATCAATCAACCATTTTTTTTTTCTTTTGATTTTGACACTTAAAAACAATTTTTGTTTGAAACAAAACAAAACAAAACAAAAAGATGGTTGGTGTTACTCGCATCAGTGTGGAACATTTTTATCACTCTCTTCTTTTCTTTATTTTTCTAGTTTTCAAAATCATTTGCAATTGCATTGAATAAAGACGAAAATAAAACAAACATATTGATTCCCAAGAGTAAAGTCCTGGTTGGTTCAATATGTCTTCATTTTATCGGTTTCATTCGTTTTTTTTTTCTTTCTACTGATTCTGTTGTAATGGTATCAAACAATTGTTTTTATAGGCGACGACCGCTTGATAATATCAATAGCGAGTTCCTAACAGCCGGTTATGAAAAGAGTGAAATTAAAGCATTTTGAAACCCTGTCATCGTCTCCATTCCCGAGTTTGATGGCTAAAAACATGTCGACGAATACATGTACTTGTCTAACGAGTCTCAAGTCGTTAGCTAAAGTTTCACATGGTTCGGAATTGCATTATCCATTTTATTCTTATCTCTCAACATTTCTAAAAGATCTAGTTGAGCAAAAGAACAAGAAGTCAATCAAAAGAAAGACGAAAATACTTCCAACACGTCGATGTTTAAAGCTGATAAATCCCCAATCTATGCAAAAAAATTTTTTTTTTTATGGAAAATCTACCAAATCTCTTCTAATGTTTGACTCTAGAGCAAGTCTTTGTAGATTTAGTTTTTCTATTCTAGCGTTATCTTTCTCCTACAAAAGATATTTTTCTTTCCTTTCTCTAATTTAAGAATACCACCTTGCTATTAGGGAGAAACTGTCTTTACTTCTTGCTATCACTAAAAGAAAACAATCTAAATTTTTTACGACCATGATCGGAAAAATACCTACAAATTTTCGACCAATTTCCTTCCAACTTTTTATGAAAGAAACATATGTCGGAAATTGGTCAAATTGTTTTGAAAATTTCCGACCAAATTAAGTTGTTTGAACATTAGTAGGAAACTTCTTCGAAAATTTGGTGGTTTTTTTTTACGGATAAAGGTGTCGGAGTGGAACGTCATCAAAAATTTGTTGGAATACATGAACTTTACACATGTCGATTAATGGTAATTTTCGACAATTCTTCATTTCGATTTAAAACAAAACTCAGTGTTGTTCCAACGAATTTTCGACGATATTTCCGAATGCCGTTGGAAATATGATTTCTTTTTTTAGTCATGTTAGTTGAAGTTGAGACTTCTCTAATGGTATTTTCTTTTAGAACCTCATATTTTTTCTATTCATTCCTAATTAGTTTAATTTGCTTGTACTCCTTTCATTTTCATATAAACAGTTTTAGTTTGTTTATTCTCAAGTTCTTTGTCTTTCTACTATTTCAAGATATTTTCACATATATTTTGTCCTTTAATATGATTTGTAATAAATTTTTATTTGCTACTTAACTACTCCCTCCGTTTTCGAATAGTTGTAGTTTTAGAGAAATTTTTTTTGTTTTTAATTAGTTGTCGTTTTCAGTTTTCGATGCAAAATTTATTTTTTATTATTTTTTATATTTAATTATATTATGCAACTTGATTTATTATTGGTTAAATTATGTTTAGATAGATAATTAATGATATTTTTATATTGAAAAACTAACAACATTAATAGTTTTTTAATTTGTGTTTATATAGTTAAAACGACAACTATTCGAAAACGGAAGGAGTATTACCTAGTATTTTTGACTAACATATGTTCTTATTTCACTGATGTAGATTTTATCTACAGATTCTAATTAATCTTAATATTGTGATTTAAAATCTTTTAATTTGTAAATAATGTATTGACGAAACTACCAAGTACCAAACATAGACTTTTTATACAAAATTAAAAATCCCACGTAATGGTTGATAATCATTGCTTAAACTGTACCTGGCCATCAATCATTTGTTAAGAAACTATGAAGACATAGTATATAATATAACTAACAATTTTTTATTGGAGAATCAAAAGAAATAAACACAGCTAAATCCAATATTTTGTTAGTGGAAGAAAGATATAATAAGACGGCACCACCAGCAAATGACACACCAACCAAACAGCTCGGCCTTCTTTTGCTTTTGACAAATTCAAAGCTACCTGAAAGAAAATAATTAACAGATAATTCTTCGATCCCACGAGATTATAGTACCTAACTTTTAAATTCATTCACATACATTTTCAAGCAGTGCAAAAATTCTACTATCTTTTAGCTTAAAATCTTACTTCCCCTAGTTTAAGAAATTTGATTATACACAATGAGTTGGTAAGCAAAGCTAGTAATTAGTATGGTGTTTAGACGTTAGCCGCAGTCGCGAAACAAGAAATATTAGGTACATAATAAAAATCAAAACAATTAATCAGTTACTGAAATAAAAACAAAAGAGAGTGATGCATATACAAAAGAATGAAGATGAGTTGAATATTTGCATAATTTTAGTGGGTGTATTTGGTTGACATATATGGAACATATAATTCATATAAAATATTTCGTTTCAATTAATAACATATATATGAAATGTTTTCTTATTGTAATGGCCCATATAAGGAGTTGTAAAGATGAGGTCTGTTGTGTAGACTAGCCATGAATAACCAGTTGGTTGCTTCCAGTGGAGGAACCCCTGTTCAAAGACCATCTCCATTACATAGTTTTGAGTGGGTGTCTTAACATAAATTAATAAGAAAATGCTAATATTATATTATAGGTGTCTCAAAGACAATTACAAACTCAATCAAAGGGTCTTCATTAAGACATTTTAGACATGATGTCTCACATTCTCTAAGGGGGTGTTATTTAATGGTAGAGTTAAAGTCAATTCTTTAAGGTTTAGATTTGTTTTCTGATATTGGTTTTAAGAATCTGTTTGTGTGGATTTCAAAATCTCTGAAGTATATCTTAGATTTTGATTCTAATAATTTACTCATGAAACTCCAAAGATGTTTCATTTGAAATGACTTAATATACAAAGATTTTACAAGTCTTTTAGTTTTGAATAACACTAGGCTCCGAATGGTAACTGCGTTTTGCGGTACGGGACAAGTGCGGTATTACAGTGCGGTACGGTTCAACTGCAGGACGTGCGGGAGAAATGTATTTGCGGGACAAGTGCGGTTTGTATAAAATAAGCGGTACAAAATAATATTTGATTGGTGAAAAAAGTTATTTGCGGGACAAGTGCGGTTTTTTATATATATATTAATAATTAATTAATTTTTTGTGTTAATAAATAAACACTAACAGATATTTATATACCATTAATACACAAATTGATCAAAATATAAATTTAATTTTTAAACATACATATTGTTGAATCTGTTGAATAATTTCATCATAAAAAAAAGTACAACACATTAAAAAAAATATTATCTATTACTTTGATTTTCCCATAACATATTTGCAATATTGTCTCTTATTTGCGTCATATATTCTCCATCTCTTATCTACGTTGCTTCTATCATAGAAGTTCTATGTCATCTAAATCATGCTCAAAATCTATGTTGTTTAGATTAGTATTAAAGAACAAACATTTTAAATATATTAAACTTTAAATACTGAACTTTATTTAAATTAAATTTTAATCATATATATATAAATATATATTTATTAATTGCTAAATCAATTTAATCATTAAAACAAAATATAACATAATAAAAAACTATTATCAAATACTTTAATTTTATAAAATTTATTTCTTATTCTATTAAAATGAATTTGTTATTTTAAGATTTTAATTAAGATATATAGTTATTATAATTTAATATTAGTATAGTATTTTAGTGGATGTATGTAGTAACTGAATATTTTTAAATTACATAATAATAGAAAATAATAGTTAAAATGAAAAACACACTCTAACCCATATCAAAAAGAGTGTGGAATGTTTACAAGTGCGTTTTCTAAGAAAACAGAACAAACAAAAAAAAATTCTGCACTATTTGGACAAGTGCGTTATTGCACTTTTGGTATTTCAATAATTATCTTTTTCTTGAATGGTAACATGTGTGAAAATCCATCCTGCACCCTCCAAATCCGTCCCGCATATATGCTTCCATTCACTGCCTAGATTTTACAAATCTTAAAGAATTGACTTTAACTCCATCATTGAATAACACCAAACTTTTAAAATCTAATGAAGTATAAGATCTAATAACACCAGATTTTAACGTTAGATTTATAATCATTAGTTGAATAACACTGAATTAGTGTTGGATTTCAATTCTATTAAAATCCATCATTGAATAACACCACCTAAGAATTTTTTTTACAATATTAATATTTCTTTTTCAATTATATATTAGATACCCTCTTCAAATATGTCTAATGGAGATGCTCTAATCCTAATAGTTCTTGTGACAGCTCCAATCTCATGGAATTTTGCCTGTTAGTATCAAATTTAAAGTTAATATTTAATTTCTGTTATAAAATAACGTTTGATTTTTATTTTTATTTAGATTACAACGCACCAGATATGGGTCCAAAAAATTATATATTATTAATACAAAATCATAAGATACTTTTTTTAACGTGCGAAGCAGTCTGTTATATGTGTGTCATCCTCTCATTTCATATGGTATTTTACTTTATAAATGCTAAATGAGTGAAGTTTACAAAAAAAAAACCAAAAAAAAAAAAAAAAAATGCTAAATGAGTGAATCTTCTAATTTTTGTTTTGCAGCGAAATAAAAATTAATCAGTAAGGAAAAGACTCATTTATAATATGTTTATGCAATAATATGCTCTCTCTTTCTCTCTATATTCTTACATGTCATATTGTCATCATCTAATTAAGAGGATCTCCTAATTATTCGTTGCTGCCGGCAAAAATAAGGAAAACAATTAGTCGTTGCCATGTAATCCTGTGTGATTGGATTGTGTAAAATATAATGATTTCAATTTCATGATCTAATATCTCTGTTATCAAAAAAGATTTAATTCAAGAGCATAAATAATAAGTACAAGATTTCTAGAAAGTTTAAGTTTAGTGTTGCCCAACTTGAGAAAAACATTCTAG